TCATTTTGATGTTCCTGTCATTATCAGCTGAGGATAGATATAAAAAATGTGCTGTTATAGTTCAAAAGGCAGCAAGATGCTATTTCCTAGTATATGAAAAGGCATGTAGCAGAATCATTGCCTTCCATTCCAGAAGGATAACGACAGGAATTCTCTGTATTTTACCAAAAGCAGAAGAAACAGAATGGTGTCGGTGCAGTACTTTAAACCAGGACATCATACTGTCTTGCAGGATGGGGACATGAGAGGGAGCAGGTCAGAGCAGTATGAGACAAGATGGTGTGGGGTGAATGTAGAAATTCCTAAGTGAGATTTCATGGTCTGATCAGCATCAACATTCAGACTGAAGGGTCCAGGTATCCTTTTTGGCTCAAAACTGTTACAATCAAATAAATGTGTAAACATAGCTATATACAGTTAAAATAGCAACTTCCTGGTTTTAGGAGCACACGCGATGCAACATGGTGTTGTGGGTTAACCCTGTCTAAAGATGATCGTGCTTGGATACCCCCACACAGGTTCACCAGTTTAGTTTCTAGCGTGTACAGTCTATAGGCTATTATCATGATCTTCCATATTCTGGACAAACTAAGGAGGGATTCAGATTATATCTAAGTCTTTTACAAAAGATGCCCTCACTGAGTGTCCTTGAGTCCTGGTAGAGCTCTCTAGGACATTTAGGTCTTTAGCTGACTTTGATAATGGTTTTAAGGCACATCAGAGCACTTCAGTTCTGTTACCAGCTTAGAGACAGTAATAAGCAAAGATATACAGCCGTTTGTTGGTGTTTCTCCCAGGTCTCTCAGTGTTTCTAGCCCAATAATTCCTGGCTCAAAATTAGTTAAGAATACAGGACAACCTCAGCAGTCGTTTCACTCTTAACTGTTCTAAAGCACATAGATGTTAGACAGGCAGTTTTGATGTATTTTCCAAGAAAGACTTGGGTTTGTCTTCAACCCTTGCTCAGGTAAGTCCTGTTTACGCACAGATCAGCCTACAGCATCACTCTGATAGCCAGAAGTTATGCTGATAGGCAAAAGTTATGCTTAGTGGGAGTAAGGGTTGTGTTCCTACCCAGCCTGGTTTTGACCATTCCAGTACTCTGACCAAACAAATCTTAAAAGTGTCCAGTGTTGGGGAGTCCACCACTTCCCTGGGGAGATTATTCCAATTGTTTAAAACACTCACTGTCAATGGAATTACAGCTCATTCCCATTTAAAGCACTGTGAAAGCTGTTACTGACTTAATAGTGAGTCCAGGTTACAGGGTTTACTAGAAGTTATGGTTTCTGGTGATGGTATGGCATCTTCATAGATTACTCTGCATAGTGTTTGCTTATATTTTGGTAGGTTGCAATTAATTCCAATGGAAATAGTATTTGTGTGTGAACCTCTGAAGGTGCAGAAAAAGTGTCAGCTGTTCACAAGGATTGTGCAGATCTCCTGCATGCTTCTTGTGGCACTTCTTCGCACCTGGGTATAGCAACAATAACCAAAAAAATGCAAGATGCCAAGTTTGGGCAAAACAAGTCAGACCAGCTAACTGGAGGGTTCCCATCACTGCTTGCAGCAGGCATTTGGCACATTTCAATATGCTTGGTAGATGCAAAATCCCCTGCAAGGGTTCTATGTAATATCTGATGTCATCACTGTGTACCCTATTCATAGTGAATAGTTCAAGCTGTGGCTTTACAGCCAACTCTTTCACCAAAAAAAGATAAGCCTCCCTTGCCCACACTGTCTCCTTCCCTGCTTTTCTTGTCTTGCTGTTTACAACATAACCTGAACCAACTGAAAACTCTACACCTTTTATTTTAAAGGTGATTTTTAACTGGCTCACACAATTGATTACACAGTCAGCAAGACTGCCGGTGCAAGCACGAGTTAGGCAGTAAGAACAAGTGGCTGCTAGCCACTAGAGGAGGTATAACCACTTTCTGTTATGTTACCTGCAAGGAAGGTAAATGCAGCGTTAGAATGTTACCCATAATGCCATTAAAACCCGTGCATTTTACAGTTTTGAGCATGCTGCCAAACAGTGAATAAAGGGTATCTTGAAAGTGGAATAGTTCTAGATTGTGTAACTAATGTGTAATGTGTCACTGATCTTTTTTCACTGAATCTTTTTATACTGTCAGATCTGTGTAAGAGAGTTTAAGGGCAGGGGAGAATATTTGCCTTTGAAGATAAATTAATGATGAAACCTGTACTAGGGTTATGAGGTCTTATGAAAACTCTGATGAACTACAGGGAAACATGAACTTCAGTGAAAACAGAAGTGTTTTATAAGAAAAGTAATGGACTTGTGGGCAATAAAACCTATTTCTCCTTGTCTAAAAAGTACAAATACATCTGTTTTTATTTTATAAAGGACCAAAAACCAGAAAGACATTTCACAGGATGAGAGCTGATTTTATTTTTTTTTTCAAATTATTATTTTCTTTTATTGAAAAACACCCCAAACCTTTATTGGGGAAGAAACAAACCAAGAGTTGTCCAGCTTTATAGCTGGTTAACATCAGCTAAAAATAGGATTGAAATTTCTCCTTTACTTCTTTACATCCTCTTTTGAAAATAAAAAGATACTCTAAACCTAAGCTTAAATTATTGTTAGTTTTAGTAGTAACAATGCACATAAACTGAGTCTTAAAAAGTTTCACAGCACACCCAAGAGACCAGGTAGGGGAAACATACACAAGTTTCTATCAAAAGATGAAGTCATTATAATACCTGAATTATTTAAGGTAAAATTTTCACAATTCAATTGATACCACTAAGTTTATTTTCCACTTGGCTTTGAAGCCTTGATCTTGGCTATCTTGTGCCTGTATAGATCAACCTTTTGGCCATGTTGAGATACTCAGGTCAATAAAGACTAAACAATCCAAACAATAACATTCTGTAAACCGGTTCTTCATTTAAGCTGTTTGTGCCAGCGGCACAATGGGTGTAAATCAGAATTAGGATTACTGTTCTCAGGCTTTTCTGTGCCGGTGGCCAGGATAATCACCAAACAGCTCACAGAAATATTTGTGAGGGTGAATACAGGTGTGATTAACCTTGTCCTCAAGCAGCCAGTATAGCTTCCAGGACAGAAACAGAGCAATTGCTGAAGGCCTGCAACACATCTACCCTGAAGTGATGCATGACTCTTTCCAACTATTCATATTATTTCCAACTGCTTTTTAATCACAGAGGCGGTGTGCTTCACTTTAGGAGCTTGATAAGCAGCATGGGGGGAATCCTCCTAACCCCCCTTGTTTAATTCTCTAGTGCCATTTAGTTATATATCCTGTCCCCACTTTTGAGAGGACACTGCTGGAAGCTGGAATCAGACACGGACCCACAAGTCAGCCCCTTAGTGGTTTGTGAGGATTGCGGGCAGGTATGGTTCAAGAAAAGTTTTGATTTGCCCAGTCAACAGCACAATGAAGTATTTCCACAGAGCACTGTGGGAACTTGACATGCCAGGGCTTGGTGTATGCACTATTTAAAATCTGCTTATGCCCAACCCAAAACCACATAAGTGGTACCTGGGCTCCAGACCTGGGCTCCAGGCCAGCTGCCTGAATACTCACAGGGGGAGCTTAACAAATTGTTTATAAAATAAACTTGTTTTCTTTCCGACTCAAGGGGTTTACAGAGCAGCTGTTCAAGTTATAGCTAACAGTAATCTCATTGATGCAATACCTTTAGATGTCAAAGGAGTTTTATAATTACATTATGAAAGGATGTGCTGGAAGCGAAATAGGAAGAGATCAAGAGGAAAAGTCTTTCTGTCAAATAGGAATGTGTGGGAAGGGAGCAACAGTCAAAGTTGGATGTGGCCATGTTCACCAGATCCAAAAAGCATCAGAACACTTTGCACAACCCCTCATTGCCAAACCTCAAATCACAAGGAAACAATAGGGAACATACACTTAATGCTGTGTTTTATTCACTAAATGATAAGCCTGAGAGAGAGTTAGAATTGGGCAAAGTGCGAAGAAGCACCGAACAGTTGTTTTCTGCTGGCGCCATCCACCTTTGATACACATAAATTACAAATTTGCAAGAAACCTCTATTGGAAATGTATCCTCTAGAGAGGCTGCCACAATTGCCAGGCAGAGAAACCATAACAAAACTCTGACTGTGAAGAAAAAAGAAAGCAGCAGCTTTGGAGGGATTTCTTCAGGATAGTTACCTAGAGATTTCTGTCCCCAGATTCCCACCCTTGGTGCTGCTTTAGTACATCCGTGGCTTTAAATACAAATTAAAATACAGTTTTGATAATAATGGGGGTTCTGTGAGCAGATCTTCAGATTAGCTGTACTGTCATGGGCTGCAGGGGTGTAAAGTCATGTCCAACATCATATGTGGGTCTGTGCTAGAGGTGAGAACCTGGTCTTTGACACCCAAATCTCATTTCCCATCTGCTAGGCCATCCTTGTGTCTGTTCACATCTGCTTTCAGTTTTGGTATTTTCATCTGAAATGTAGATAGATTCCATTTAATGGAAACAGTGTAGGAAAATCATAGTTTATTTTATTTCTAATTATTAGCATCATACGTTTGATTTCCCAAATTAAAGCTAGTGCCTTAAGGCATGGGGTCAGTTGTGACATTAACTGCTCATCTATATTTATACTAAATTATCACTAAGTTTGATCCTGGCAAATTGTATTTCAAAGTAATTGTGCACTGTTATCCCATACTTTGGGTATCTTTTCTGTACCATGCAGCACTGAAAAATAAAAACCTGGGCTACTATGAAATAAGCCTAGAAACTTAATCGGTGAAGTCTTTAAATGGTTGCTGTTATCCTAAATATGACCCATAAAAATCTAGAATTTTCTATGTTTTAAAGTGCCTCACTCTTGTATGTGGTCAAAAGACACAATAATTCCAAGACAGCAGTTTGAATGGATGGCTATGGTAGAAACTGAGGCTATGTAGCCACACCATCAAAATGAAGAAGACAGTGCCTTGGGTGGCAATTTTCAGACCTACTTCTTTAAACTGGGTGGTGCCACCTTAACAGCAGTGGGAGATGTTACCTCTGATTGGGTCTGGCTGGGAACTCCCTCGAGCTTCAAAAGCTTAAACATCCCTGGAAAGGGCCTGAGCTGAGTGAAGGTTTGGAGGTAAGTATTAACTTATAAAAGTTTGAGTGACTATATAATGGAGTTACTTATGCGTTTACTTGGTTATTTGCTGGGGTAATGTAAATGCTCTGCTCTTGTTAGTTCATGTGCCGGGGAGATTAAATGTGACTCAGTAGTTACTCACCAGCAGCAGGAGACAGGAAGCAAGCAATATTTTTAACTAGGGAGTGAATCTGGTGGTGCAGTTCAAGCCTGAGTAAGGCAGCTGTGACATCCCTGGTGGGACTGAAGGTGGGAGGGAAAACACAGCATAAGCTGTGAGCACTGGGGCAGTTTCTTCTGGGCGTGAGCAGGAGAGCTGGCCCCTTTGGTACCCTTGGACTCTGCCCCCAAGCACCAGGGTTGAAGGGTGCTTCACACTGAACACAGACAGTGTTGTTTCTGAAAGGCCATCCCCTCTTGGACGGTTCTTACATTGCTGAGAAGCATCCTCAGGGAGGTTCAGGACAGGCATGTTATGAAAGCTCACTAGAAAATAGGAAGGAAATATGGAGTTTAGAGAGAAGCAGTAAAAACATATAGGCAGACCTTTGTGCTAAGGTCTTTACTAAATATTAGCTAATGCTAAAGGTAGTGTGTGCAAGATACAGTTGCTTACTTGGCTGCAGCATAAATTCCTGGTGTCAATCAGTTTTCCAGCAGGGTCTGGGCTAGTTCAGCTAGTGCAGTGGTCCCAAAAGCTTAGGTATTGCTCAGGTAAAGTAGAAAGTTTTTTCGTATCTGCTCACTATGTTTCCTGTGAGTCTTTAGTCACTTGCTCATTTTGCAAGAGTCAGTTTCTTCAGGAGGAACAGTCAAATCTATATTTTAAAGAAGCAAGTAACACCAGGACAGACCATTTGGGCTGCTTGTAAGCCTGGTGTTTGGTATAACGCATGCTGTGACTTTAGTAGCAATATCCGTTTGACTATTTCTTATCTTTCCTTCTGTCCTGCTGCTGGTTTGGGCTGGCTGATGAATGATAGAAAGTTTCTCTGGCAATTGTATAGCTTTTAATGGTTCAGTAACTTGTAGAGGATTTAATATTCTACTTCCACTAGAAATCACAAACCCTTGCAGCTTCCATGACTGCCCAGGAGCATAGCATACCCCAAATGCGTATTGAGAATCGGTATAAATATTTAGCTTTTTATGTGGTCAGTTGATAGACCTCTTTTGTTAACACAAGGAATTTGTCTGCTTGTGCACTCAGCTTTGGACTGAGTGGTGAAGCTTTCCCTGCTTCATTCACAATACTTATTGAGTAACCCGTCAGCCAATTGCTGCTCACATAATATGAGGACCTGCCAACAAATGGTTCCAGGTTGGGATTTACAAATGTCGTGTCTGTTAAATATTATCAAGTCTTTTTCGCTTCACAGGAGGTTACTACACAGTTGTGGTGTGGAGCTCCTTCCCTGGGTAAAGGGAGTAGAACAGCAGCGTTCAGCATGTTAGTTACTATCTCAGAGGCTGTTCCTTGCCCTTCTTGCACAAACAAGATAAATAGTTGACCATAGTCTGGCAGACTGAGGGTAGGTGCAGCTTACTTCAAAAGCCTGGATGTCTTGACCTTGTCTGTTGTCCAGCGGATGGGTTCTCCAGCATGTGGAGCAGTAATCAGTATCAGGGTTTTTTCTGTTTCCTCAAAAGCAGCTATCCAGGGGTGGCAGAACCCTCCAGCTCCTAAAAACACTTGTGTTTGTTTCTAGTAACTGGTCTTGCAAGATTTTTTTTTAATAGTTTTAATACAGTTTTCCAGTAAACACTGCTTCTGCTGCTGGAGAACATGTACCCCACGTATTGAAGAACGTAACTCAGGTATTCTGCACTTGTCATAAAAATTATTACTTATGTGGAGAGACCTGATGATCCTTTTCATTAAAGGCAGACAGTAAGGAAGGGGTAGCAGCTGTACCAAGAACCCTTAGCTACTAATGAAACATCACCATATTGTATCAAAGACAGATTTTTATTTATTTTTTTTAATACAACATTATGAAAATCTTTTATGGAAACTAGAAAAATAGTGGAGGACTGAGTGAGCTTCTGAGGAAGCCTTGTCTGTGTTGGCTGTACCTTTCCCCAAATAAATGCAAGAAGGCATTGAGAATCTGGATGAATAGGTATAATGATTTAAGGTAGAAAATGTTGCCCTGTCTCGTTTCTGCCTACTTTTCGGGCATCTCAAGACTTGTCACAGGGAATGGGTAACTAAACTGAGCCCTCAGGGCAAAACACAGGTCCAGACCCAGGCATGGAAATGTGGCAGTCAGCACGCAAGCTGCAGATGTCAGATCCCTGTAGAATCAGTGGAGAGGCATCCAAGAAATATAAAGATTGAGGAGACTTCACCAAAATCCAAGGGTTTTTCTCTGTGCCAGAAGCTTAGGACAATTAAAATCTGCATACAGCTGACAGTTACTAGTAATTAAAGAAAAAAGCTGCTGCTGATAGGGTTTTATTCTTCATTTGTCATTGTTCTTATCACATAATTTAATGCTATATAGAGCTCCTTGTTCATATAAAATGCTAAAACGATATCTAAGGCTTTTTTATCTCTGCTTTTGTTCTGCAAACAATAGATAAATTTTCCAAGAGGATTCAGTTTCATGTTCTTGGTATTGCAGCTTTGGGTTTTTTTTTTTTAGTTGTAGGAAAAGGCCTGTTTACTGTCACTCTCTGCACATTATAAGCAGGGGCGGTGTGTGTCGAGATGATATGGATGCAATGTGTCTGAGAAGTATGTTAACGGAAGAGGCACTTAGCTGCTGTGATCTATATCTGTAAGCTGCACTGCCATATAGTGAAAGATAGTCACACAGTGTGCAGAAACTAGTAAAAACACGGTATTGGAGGCAAAACATTGTAATGAGCATAAGCTATTTTCACTTTAAAACAGGAGGTGATCATTTTTTCCTTTATGTGTATTTGGATTGTATTGTCTAAATTACCCCAAATATCCCTCTTTATTGTAGTAGCATGACCTGATTCTTACCAAAATTGCTCAAGGGAGAACTGTCAATCTGATTTTTCTTTAAAATCAAGTTTTGACAAAATACGTTCAAAATGTACTTTAAGAACACTTACTGCACTGTGATTTCAAAGATTCTGGCTCTGAGAAAAATGTGGTATTCTGCTAAATTTTAAAATCAAGCACTCTTTCTGAATCATTAGGACACAATTAGGATACCCATTTTAAGCTTTTGTTTCATCCCAGTAATTAGTGAATGACAGTAACAACTTAGTGAAGGGGGAATGCTAGTCCCAAGGCAGCTCAGCCTGTTTCATGGAAAAAAAAAGGGAAGATTAACAATTCATTTGCCCCTACTTGGGGAAAGAAGTGCATGGCAGTTGAAGCTGCAAAACGAGCTCCAGCAATTAGCTACCAGTAAAACATGTTTTACTTTTCTTTTTCTCTCTTCAATGAGGATGCTGGGAATGAGGGTAACTTCCCTGAGAGTGTGGTAGGATTTTCAGTAGCTTTGTATGATTGTTTTAAAATGCAGCAAGGTTCCTCCTATAGCCTGGGACTCCTGCCACTTGTTTAAACTTGTCTGTATTTGGTTATAGTCATAACAAACCTCCCTAACAGCACTGTGGAAAGCTTCATATATCTGTGTGGTGTGACTAGTCCATCTCTCATTTTATGTTTTAAACCAGGTTAAGTTTAAACGTCAACAGGCATAGTGAGAATAAAAGGCTCTATTCTCCCCTCAAAATAATGGTACTGACACCAGTTTTAGGAGGTGCTGTGTGCTTTCCGCTTAATATTTTTCAGGGAACCAGGAGCTCAGAAGCATGTCTGGGAAGCCCAGGCTTACCTACCTTAATGGAAGGGGGCGAATGGAGTCCATACGATGGCTGTTGGCAGCAGCCGGCGTGGAGGTTAGTTGAGACTCAGTACAGTGTTCCAGACTGCTGTTTTCAACTGGCCTCAGTGAGGACCAATTTAACATGCACGCGAGGGTAAATGGCTTCAAGAGGGTGGCTAAATGCATTTGACGCATAGCTCTGCAGGTTTGTTAATATTGGTTAATATTTTGGATGCAAACTCGGTGGAGCTTGGAGTTCATTAAAGCTAGTAGCAGTCCCCTGAAGTAATTCATCACAAGGGGTCAAAATGTGGATTTATTTAAAGGCCCTTATTTACTTTTCAGTTACAATGTGCATAAAGAGAAGCATTTTGTTGACTTATGTGGCCCAGGATGGGGTTAGAAATAGTTGATTTACCTTGTGCTTCTCTTGACACTGGCTGCAACCTGTCTTCCTCCTGTAGATGTCTGTACTCTGTTTCTACCCTTAAGTTATTTCTGCATCAGTGCACTGGGGCAGAATTGGCCAAGCCCTTCTGCATCTTCCCAACCGTGAGGATGTGCTAGGGATCCTCAGGACATTTGACAGGGTTCTTCAGCCAAACAGCGTAGTTGAAGATCCAACCCAATATTTTTTGCTTTGTTCCATCATTCTGTGCACGGTTATATGCACACTTGGAAAAGAAAAATGTTCAAATACAGCAATATAACACTATTGTCTCTCCCCCTTCCAGTTTGAAGAAATTTTTCTGGAAACAAAAGAGCAGTATGAAAAGATAATCAAAGGTAAGAATCCCAGTGTCTGAGGCTTAGACTCTCGAAAAACCTGCTCCAGTTCAGCTAAATTTGTGGTTTAAAATTAGTTTATTTAAACCAGTGCAAACTTCTAGGTGCACACCTAGAATACTAAAATACTAGTTTTGAGTAACCTATTGTTTTCAGTGCCAAACGACTCCTATCATCTAAAAGCTGTAGCTTCTGTGACTGTTCACTGTAGTACATTAAACAGGGGTAGCAAACATTCCTGTTTAATCAACTTAATTTTCTGTGCTGTTGAACTGTTAGCATGGATCCTGGCACATTTTTTTGTCCAGGACAAATAGCAGTCCCTGAAGCAAATCCTAGGCATCATCTGGGAGTTGTCTCAGGCCAAGGGCTATTTTCAAGATGTCATTTAGATGTGACCACCATGCTTTATAGGCAGAGACCTAAATAAAATGAATGCAGACAGCCTGTACCAGCTGGCCTTAACTGTCGTTGAGTCGGCTAGTATAGATGTACCTGTATGTTGGTTCTGAACCTCAGTGAGATAAGCCTCTGAAAGAAAGGTTAGCATGGCACCAAAATCCTCAGGAAAGCCAGTTTTCCTTTGTTATAGGCTCAGTGTGAAAATCTTAGTGGCAGTTCAAAGCAAGATAAACCTTGAGCCGTGAAGCTTCCACAAGTTAAAAAGCAGAAAGCCAGTGGGGGAGACCTGTGGAAAGTCTGTGACCAAATTAGCAAGCCACAAAGGCAAACCATGGGAGTGAGATCGGTTCCCAAAACCAGAGCATATCCCCAGCTACTGCCCTTGATATTTGGCCAGATGAAATCCAGCAGTAAACCAACCCCTTTGCAGCTACCCTGGAAGGAGAAGACCTTGCTGCCAGGGTGGGAAGGAATTGGGATTGTGCTAGAGTGTACCTGCCCTGCAGTTTACCTGCTGCCCACGACATGTAAGAGAAACCTCACAGAAGGCTGGGCTTGTGAAGACACACTAGGAGCCTTGGAAGAGGACGTGGCTGTTTGCTCAGCAAGGAAAGCTGTGTTTAAAGAAATCCTGACAGGAAAACTAAAATGAACACAAAATGAACATAAGTGGTATCAAGAAGATCAGAATTAAATTTTCAGGTCCAGCTGCCTGGGATTCTGATAACATGGTGGGGCAGTGCAGTATAAAGACACCAGTTATAGCTCTAAATATGATAGCTCAGGTACTGAAAGCCCAAATCTGAATTTGCTTCACACAACTAATTAATCCAGAGTGGTATAATCCTGGATACAGTATCCAAGCTTATCTGTATCCAGAGGGAAAAATTAGATGGTGATGAAAAGGATAGGGAAGTTTTATAAAGAAGATCAAGGACTTCTATGTATGTATAGAGAGCTTAAGAGGGTGAGAACACAGAGAAAAAGGTGAGGGTTAATAGGATGGGTTGAAGAAAGACAAATTAGCCATCCTGATAAAGGGAATTCTGAAATGCTGCTGGTCATGCATGGCAGGACAGAACACAGCAACACAACCCCACGCTACTTCTAATATTTTTTCTCTCCCTACCAACATGCTTTTTTGCCAGGTTATCCTCTGTTTAGACACCACCACGCTGTTAGAATGGTCCAGGTGTGACTTTGGCCTATGCTAGCTAATGACCTAAGCAATGCTCCAGCAGTGTTCAGGATGAAGCCTGAGCCAAGGCCTGACCCCAACAGGCAGTTTATAGACAGCTATTTTGGCGGCATCAGCTTGGCCAGACCTGTACTTGCTGGTCTGAGATAACTAGTTTGGCTCAATCTGTGTTGCCCAAGTTGTTACTTGGATATCAACAAGCTCTGCTGGTCAGTGACAAATGATTCTAGATGGTTGTTTTTCATGTATGCTCCACAGACAACTTTCCAACAGCGCAATCCAATCTGCAAACAACTTGCAAACTGCTTTTAATCCTACATATATATTCAATGCAGGGGTTGTGTGAGTTGGTTCTCACTGCAAAGTGAGGAGAAGCTACTGACCATGACAGAAATCCTTCTATTCTGCAGATAAGAAACAAACCATGCGTTCAGTTTATTCACATTTGCTGCATCATTTTTTATCAAGGGCCAGAAAGTCAGACTTTATTTTTTACTTTGTATCTTTCTGCTGAAAAATATCCTTCCAGCGCTGTCAATTTTTCCATTCTGCTGTGTTTGTGCTGGGTAGATACCAAGTCATAATTTTCCTTAAGCTGCAGAAGTGTCTTCTGAAAAGACAAAATCTTTTTATGAATGCTTACAAGAAATAAACGCAGGCTGCAGACAGAACTATTCTTTGAATTAAAACTGCAAACTCACAATATGGAATGAGTGAATAATGTTTATTAATTCTGGACTAGCAAAGTGTTTTAACAGCTCTGTGGAGCAAAAAGCAAACATATGTCTGTTAAAATGAACCCTTGTACCCAAACCCTTGCACTGAATGGATTAAAACTGAGCACTTCAATTATTAGCTTTGAGTAATGCAAGGTGGCAGCTGTCTAGCTGGATTTGGAGTTTTGCTGTGATTTTTAACAGGGCAGGATTATTCTCTGGATGCTCTTATTGTGTCAATGGAGGGATTATCTCTGGCAGAAAACTGGTCTAGAAAAGGCTGACTTTGCTATGTTGAATGTCAGCTTAGCTCTCAGAGCTGTCTCACTGAAGGCTCAGATAAATGCTCCTACCAGCATCAGGAGAAAATGGACTAAAAGATGTATCTAAGTAGGCTTAAATTGTTGTGGAATGACACAGAGGCTAGGCCTGTACCAAACACCTAAGCGAACTCTTAAACTTTTGTCCCTGGAGTGACTGCACTTAAACAACAAATCCTGTCACAGTCCTTGCCGCTCACTTTGCAAGGTAAAGCAGCCTGAGCTCTCCCTTTATTCCAGTAGCTCAGTCTTGCTGTGGTACTACCCCATTCATTTTCTGTTCATTTGTGTATGTCCCTGACAGGTAGCTGATCTGCATTCAAAATAATCGGATTTGTTTAAGCTTAGTTTTAACACAGATCTTTATTCTCCTCCAATCCCTTGCGTTCAAAGTACTGGCTCACTCTTTTCCTGGCAGCATGAGGCAGGGTCCTGAAGGGCAAAAGAACAGGCAGTGCCAATTCCCATTAGCCAGTGAAACTCTGGCAATGCTGTAAAGTAAGGGGCCCAGCTGCACTAGGGTGACCTAGCTACAAAAGCGTGAGCAGGCTAGACAATACTAGATCTTTCCCACAGTGTTAGTTTACTGCATGGAGTTTTACAGTTAGGGCAAGACAACAATGATCTACACTGCAAAAGAAATGTGCTCAGGCTGTCACTCTCCTGTAAAGCTAGCAGTCTAGGAGGAACTAAGAAGCTTTCCTTCAACACTCCACCCTAGATGGAAGCCTGATGTTCCAGCAAGTGCCCCTGGTTGAGATCGATGGGATGAAGATGGTGCAGACCAGAGCTATCCTCAGCTACATAGCAGGGAAATACAATCTCTACGGGAAAGACTTAAAGGAGAGAGCCCTGTACGGTAACACCTCCTTCCACGTAATGAGCAATCTGTTATTTGATAACTGCATTATCTATAACAAATTGAATCCTGCATATCCAGTAGAAAGGCCTGAGAAAGGCTAGCACATTAGAAAGCAAGGACTCCAGCCTTTGCTTAGATTTTAACCACTGCTTCTGAAATGCTCCTGGACAGAAACAGGCTTTTAGTCCTTTTAAAAGAATTTAGAATCATAGCATCGTTAGGGTTGGAAAGGACCTTAAGATCATCTAGTTCCAACCCCCTGCCATGGGCAGGGACACCTTATGCTAAATCATACCACCCAAGGCCTCATCCAACCTGGCCTTGAACACTGCCAGGGATGGAGCATTCACAGCCTCCCTGGGCAACCCACTCCAGTGCCTCACCACCTTAACAGGAAAGAACTTCCTTCTTATATCCAACCAAAACTTCCCCTGTTTAAGTTTTAACCCACTACCCCTTGTCCCGTCACTACAGTCTCTAATGAAGAGTCCCTCTCCACCATCCCTATAGGCCCCCTTCAGGTACTGGAAGGCTGCTATGAGGTCTCCATGCAGCCTTCTCTTCTCCAGGCTGAACAGCCCCAACTTTCTCAGCCTGTCTTCATATGGGAGGTGCTCCAGTCCCCTGATCATCCTCGTGGCCCTTCTCTGGACTTGTTCCCACAGTTCCATGTCCTTTTTATGTTGAGGACACCAGAACTGCACACAATACTCCAAGTGAGGTCTCACAAGAGCAGAGTAGAGGGATCACCTCCTTCGACCTGCTGGTCACGCTCCTTTTGATGCAGCCCAGGATACGGTTGGCTTTCTGGGCTGCGAGCGCACACTGAAGCTGGCTCATATTCATTTTCTCATCAACCAACACCCCCAAGTCCTTCTCCGCAGGGCTGCTCTGAATCTCTTCTTTGCCCAACCTGCAGCTGTGCCTGGGATTGCTCTGACCCAGGTGTAGGACCTCGCACTTGGCATGGTTAAACCTCATGAGGTTGGCATCACCCCACCTCACAAGTGTGTCAAGGTCCCTCTGGATGGCATTCCTTCCCTCCAACGTATCAACCGAACCACACAGCTTGGTGTCATAAGCTTAGCTTTAGCTCATGTTTAGCTTTGGCTATGAAAATTTGCACTATGGTGGTGATACAACATTTGCCTTAGTTAACTGGAATATAGATGAAGTAACTTCTGTGCTCTTTTCTACTCTCTTTCCCTCACCAACAGGATTGATATGTACGTGGAAGGAATAATAGATCTGATGCAAATGATTTTGATGTTTCCTTTCTCTCCACTGGAGGCAAAGGAGAAAAATCTTGACTCAATTAAGGAGAGGGCAACTAACAGGTACTTCCCAGTCTTCGAAAAGGTAAGCGGGAGTGAGGCTCTGTCTACAAAACTTGTATTTACAATTATAAAAAAGTTTCCCCAGAATAAGAACATGTTTATAATGCAAGCCAGTTCCAAATCCTTGGCTTTCTTGGTCCTCTCCTCTCAAAGAAGGGGAAATACAGCAGCATGTTTCTTTATTTGTGGGCTTATGTTGTCAGGGCTGTGGTATTTGGACATCTACAAAGAAATATGTTGTCAGCTACAGAGCAAAACTTTTCAGTAAAGTACAAGCAAGCACATACAACTTTTTTTCCCTGAAGGGATAGTTCCACACTTATATTTGTATAAGTCTAGCAGGGAGATGTGCTCTAATTTCAGTTGGAAGATTTTCAGTAGAAGAATACAAAAATCCCTTGCAAGTAAATCAGGTAGAGAGGTTAGGAGCACTTCAGCAAAACAACAGTCACAGATTTTTGCACATTCTGCTTTGGAAAACAACAAAACAAACCCATATGACTCAGGCATCTGGCAATATTTATCACTTTTGGAGTATCCACTTACTTTTGATGAAAAATAATACTGAAGCCTGAACATCTTGGAAGTTCTCATGACTACAGTAACTTTATTCCCAAAGGCAGGGATTTTCTTTGGTTAGCTATTGTAATTCTGCACTTCTAAGTTTGCTTTCTGGTATCGGCATTAGACATAACTTTAAATGAAGTATCTAACTGGCAATTTTGTAAGTTCTCCAAGCTACTCATCCTCCATTATCTCTATTTCTAATTCTGTGACTGTTACTAGTCTACTTAAGCATGCTGTTTTGTCCCTGTTCCCAGTGTCTATCATTATTTATCATTACTGATTAATCAAAGTTTGTAGTACTGTGTACTATAAGAGTTCAGATTTTTCCCAACAATAATGAAGTGATTTAGGGTCACCACTGCCAGCTGAAATCTCCACCCTGAAAACTGGGATGTAATAGCTGTTCAGCAGTACAGCTGTGCTGGGAGGCTCAGCTGCCAGGCATCATATGTCCCATGCTCATTTGCAACCCACATTCTCTTGTATTCCACAGATTTTGAAACAACATGGCCAAGACTTTCTTGTGGGCAACAAATTCAGCTGGGCAGATGTTCAGCTAATTGAAGCCATTTTAGCAGTGGAGGAGAAAGTACCTGCTGTGCTGTCAGGGTTTCCTCAGTTGCAGGTAATTTTGTTATTGAGCATGCACGTATTCAGGAGATAGAGAGCAATCCTGAACTTATCATCTCTCTATGCTTTGTAAATCAGAGGACCTGTCACTATCATGTTTGCCTGACATTAAGTACAAAAGGGATTTTGAGATCCCAGTAACCTCACTTCATTTTTGTCCTCTACGGTATGACTAAAAATTCAAGCCTTAGCATGAAGCCACAGGGCTTTTGCTTGTTTTTCAATAATCAGTACAATTGAGGATGAACTTTCTGCCTTTGTGCCATGTACAAAGTTTGAAGAAAAGAAGAAATGAGGCACCCCTGCTGTGAGGCTTGACCAGAAATTGGAAGCCTCCAGGCATGCAGCATGCCATATAGTATAGCTCATGGGCAAGCCTAGGGCATGGCCTGCAGGAGCCATTTAAGAGTTTGAGCTACAGTGGACCCAGCTAGTCTGTGACCAGAAAAAAACACCAGACAGTGTTCAGTAGTCCTCTCTTGTGCCTGTAATCGTGGTAATAAAGCAGTGTAGGCAAGGCAAATTTGGGTTGACAATGCAAGGCTTGAGGTCATGTTTCTTTGTGCTTACAAACTGTTAATTTGAAAGGTGGACTCAATGACTTTGGCTTAATTTCCATTAACAAAAGAAACAGTTCCTCATCAGACTGTCACTATCAAGGTCTTCTACTTGGAACCGATTTCTTTTATTCCCTGCATTCCGCCCCCCCCCCCCCCCCCCCCCCCACTTACTTTTTCAACAGCATGAATTCAGTGTGACAGAATGGGGCAATTCAGCCACAAAGCAGGCAGTAACGTGTGTCAGCTTTTATCCCTTATGCAGTTCTGCAGCACCAGGTAATTCATGCCTTTAGCTCCCATCTTCTAGCAAGATATCCAGTATCTTAGCCACTGGGCATGGGCACAGTTCTGTTGAGGCCATGCCTTGAATTATGGAGGGATTCCTTCACTGCCCCCTCCAGTAAAAATGGGATTCATTTACATATATTGTGGTTTTCCCTGATCGTAGTTCACCCCATTAGAACCAGCAATGAAAAGGTTGTGAGCTGAGTTAGTGTATTTTTATCCGCAAAACTATCACCCTGGTACTCTTGGATTTTTGCCTTTAGCTTCTTTCAGGCAGCAGAGATGTAGACACTGTCTGCTCCAGTATTGCCTTTATGAGTAAGAACAGGCTTTTTGCAGCAGTGGAGTCCTGTGGGCAGAAGGAGACTTGTGTAGATGGCACAAGATATGAATGAATGTCAGGGTCTCTTCTGGCAGCAGGGGGAAGCACTTGTTCTGTCCAAGGAGCGCTCTTTGCTACTGGAGTAACTGGATTTTTTCTCTGATTTTTTTTTTGTGGTTTTTTTTTTTTGGTTTTTTTTTTAGGCTTTTAAAGGAAGAATGAGCAATATGCCTACAATTAAGAAGTTCCTGCAGCCTGGCAGCCCGAGGAAACCGCCCCCAGATGAACATTATGTAGAAACTGTGTTGAAGATTTTTATGAAATGAATGCCTTGCTACCTTCAGTGAGACCCTAAATACTGGTGGGGGGGAGGAACCAAAGGCAAGAGGAAACTCGGTAAATTGGTACTGTTGTAACTAAAACCAATGGTTGAAAAGTAAAGCTCACTTACTACCTGTAGTGCCTGGAATTCCTCTGTGCTGCTCTTCAGGTACTTTCCTGTTGACCAGCAATCTGTCTCCAGGCTCTGGGCATCTCTTGCTGTCACTGGCATCAAACTGTTAAGAGTGAGATGGATTGAGGTTCCTCTCCCCTGGCAACTTTAGTTTAAAGCCCTCTTCACCAGTTTAGCAAGCCTGTGACTGAAGATGTTCTTCCCCTTCTCTGGCAGACGGATCCCATCAGCCCAGGTTTCTCGAAGTAAGTCCCACGGCCTAAGTAGCTGAGCCCCTGGCTGTGGCAGCAGTCCTATAAGTATTTGTTGATTCACCAAATTTGAGGGGTCCTTTTAAACCCCTTGCCTTTGACATGGAGGGCTGATGAGAAAACTACCTGTGCTCCACAGTCCCTTACCACCAATCCCAGGGCTCCGTAATCCTTGACAGAGACAGCGTAGTCTGAGGAGTATCACTGGTGCCCATGGGAAACAGTAGCAGCAGATAATAGTCAGTGGGCTGTATGAGGCTTGGTAGTCTCTTGGTGACATCCCTGATATGAGCCCCTGATAAGCAGCATATCTTTCTGGAGAGTGTGTTGCCTAAATTTCTGCCTGGAAAAAGTTGCCCATTTTTCTCTGTTGATCTCTCCAGTGCCACCTGTTGTGGCTGGCATCAGCACCTTGCTCCACAGGACTGTCAGTCCTATTTGGTGGTGGCCACCTAAACCCTCTGGGAGTCACAGGAGGTCTTGGAAAGATCTCCCCTGGAGACGGCTCCTCACTTGGCTGGATGTGCCATCACGTGGGATCTGTGCTGGCTTGCCTCACCCTTGGCAAGTGCTCTCAGCCATGATTCTTTTCCCAGGCCACTCAAGTGCTCAGCTTTGTGTCACCTGCCTCCCTGTGTCACCCACCGTGTTGGTGCTTTGTTTCTTCCTGGCTCTGGGCGAAGTGAAAGCAGCAGGCTTCCAGCAGTCACTGTTAGAAGTTGCAGCGGATTTCTGGATTTTACAGGCAAAGTACCTGAACGTACTTGTTAACAGCGGGCAATGCCACAGGCAAACCTCCCATGTTCCTGTGGTGCATCCTGACATCTGTGTGTCACCAGGCAGTTCTGTGCTGTTCCAAGAAGGCACTGCATACCTGTCTGGGCAGAGATACTATCTCCTTAGTAGCTGCTACCACAGCAGTATACATCTCCATGCTGAGCAGGAGGATGGTCTTTGAATGTGAAAGTGGAATTACTGTGAAAGGGTTGGTACATCATTTGCTCACACATCTGTAATAGGTCCAAATGTAGTCAGTGTTACTATCTTTAAACTAAGGCCTGTGAATGAACTGAATTTTTAGATCTCTCTGCAAAGCTTTCCTTGCAAAACTGATTTTCTTCATAAATCAATTATTTCAAACCACATGCACAATCTTACCAGCATTTCACATGCAGGTTACAAATATATTACCTCTTGAGAATGAAGCATCATGGAAGAAATGTACAATCTGTTTTGCAGGCTCAGGTGAGGCAGAGGTGGTTTATTTCTGCAGCTGTAGGATAATAAAAAGTTCAGCTTCCACTGATTTTTTTAATGAAAATATTAGGGCTTACATATTTACAGCAGACAATGACTGCCTTGTGATAGGGCCTGATGTGGCACAGCAGCATTTGCATAGGAGGAAGCTTTGTTTCAACAGATGTCAGTAACTAAATCTGGCACTTAATATTGCCATGACAAAAGTGTAGAAAAAAAGAAATTGGTAAAAAATATTAAGAAATTAACCTGGTAGGGACAAAAGAGAAGAATGAACTTCCTCTTCAGATTGCTCACTCTCCAGCTTTCCCCCATGGATCTTCCACACAGCAGACTAGAAAAGGACAATTATTTATTTGTTAGAATTCAACTAGATTAAGTGGGGTTTTTAAACTGAATATGCTCTGCTTCTTGTCAGATGCAACTTATTTTACTATTATGTCCAATACAATTGTGTAGCTTTTTGGCTTGCAAACACTGAAACTCATCTTTGTTCATGTGAGGGCAGGTGTGTGCTTATACACATAACTCAAACAGTGAGTGCTAGCAAATTATGTATTCAAGTGTGCCTTTGTGCTTCAAGCATAAGTAGAATTGAAGGAGAAAATATTCTTTTGTGAGTTACTCACATGTGTGTATAAGGTAGGGCTTTCCTGTAAAATTTGATTACTTTTGTAACCAGAATTATGAAAAAAAAACTTATGTCCCCTTGTGTTGTCAAATTTTTAGGCAAGTTAAACAAGAGTAAATCTGAAAAGAAGGGTCCTAGAAAAATGCTACCATACCCCATTTGCAGCTTAACCCTTTAAGAAGTACAAAAATCTGTTAAAATTGAATTTCCCACTTGTATAGGCAGACAAATATAGACTTCTGGTAGCTGGTATGTAAGTCTTCCTTTCCATGCCCACCTTGGGTTTCAAAACAGAAGTTGTATCTCCCACTGGTTTTCCACTCTTAAATTACCAACAACTGCTAGAGGATAGAGTTAATTCCATCCACAACTGCTGGATGGAGTTAAGTGATGCCAGTCACTGAACTCGGCGGGGTTGAGCGGCTGGCACTTTTCACTCTAGGATAGTGAGGACCAGCAGGTCAGATGTTGAAGTGGTCAATGCACCTTTATATTAGGTCATGAGTGACCTTAGAGTGGAGTCATGCTGTTTTGTATTGTGTTATTATTTGAGTGGGTTTGGAGGGATACTGGCAGAGGAAATTAATCCCTTAACCCTGGTTTCGGAGAGAAGGAGTCTGAAATCATTATTAGTAGTGATTTAAGAAATCCTTGAATTTCTATAAATATTAGAATCCTTTCTGTGCTGGCTGATGGAAAGCTGAGAAAATAAGAGGAAAGATGCAAAATAAACGATTTTTAGGTGTGAAATGCTTTGGAAGTCCTCGTACTGCCTGCCTATCCATGGCATGCTACTTTCTATTCTTGTTTACTGACTGTCTTCATCTGGAGAGAATTGCATCCAGGAAGAAGAATGGTCCAGGAGCTGGAAGTGTGAAGGGAAAAATAGGGAATAATCACAGATGAGTGAGACACTTTGAAATTTGCCAAGGAGACACAAATTAAGATTACAAATTAAGCAGGAGAGAAAGAGAGAGAGAAAGGGTGCTGACTACCAAGAACTAGAAGGAAATCTGAAAGCTTAACATGCTGTTATGTGGAAAGTTAGTTCTAAAAGCATTGGTGAGCAGGTGATGCCCCATGCACAACCTTCTCTTTGTCTGCCTCATATCAACATGGCAGAAGGTGATGTTAGCCAAAGAAAGATGGTCACTAGTTTCCACTGAACATCACAGCGTTGTTCTGGCTTTGCTTAGGCAAGGTCTTGCATTTGTTATTCAAATGTAAGGAACTGCTGGCAAAAATACATCCTGTTAAAAAAACCCTGTTCATGCTCAGTCGCACTGAAAACACCTGCCAGCTTCTAGGTGACCTGTTTGCTCTTCAAAATGTTTAGGAAAACACCTAGTGCCCTTCACATACTTGAAACCAACTGTTAAGTCAGCATGAGGGTCACTGGAGAAAAGAAAGTTTCCTTTCAATTTCTCTATTCCCTTTGCAAGGCTATCTTTTGTAAACATATTCCTAGGTCTCTATGCTGGTTACATTCAGCACTTGCCCTGCTCGGTTTGGAGGGCGTAATTCAGTGTGGAGAAATGTTTCGTGGGACATAATGTGTGTGCTGAATACAGGCAGTGCCAGTTTGGAAAAGCAACAACAAATGGGACTTTTGTTTTAAATAATATGGAACACTGGAGCTGCACTTTTATTTCTGCAAGGCAGGACAGAGTATATCCCAACAGGTCTCATTAGCCACAGAGCTAATAGGGAATAGCCATTAGCTACAGTCTCTGTTGCCCTTGCTAATACAGTAAAGGCACAACAGTTTGTGTGTGCACCTAGCTCCCTTGCAAGTACAGTTTTGATATTAGCTCATAATTTTGAACACAGTTCCAACCAAAATTAACAAAACTTTGATATGTTTTATGTAAAGTTCACAAAGCCTGATGACACAAAACATTTTCTAATGCTTTGTCAAATCAGTATCATATCTGAAAAAAACAAAAAACCCAAAACTTGTACATTATTGTTTTAAAGGAAGAGGCTAAATGAAACCAAGCTGGTAGGCAACAGCTGCAGCTGGGGTAAACATTCTCTTCTAAGTCATTAGGGCAGCTTTGGCATTTCCCCTAGTTTTAACTCCTGGATGGCCAATCTGAACCTAGATGTTCTTAGGAGACCAGATGCCTTCATCTAAACTTCTAACTGCCTCAGTTCAGACAGCATCATTTTGAGTAGTTTGCATTATCAACTGTAGTTCAAGTGCACGGTGAGGGATTTCTCTTGAATTTAGACTTGAGCTTTGAACTATTTAAAGGAGACTAGACAGCTAGACTGGACATAGGTGTCTACAAAGTTAGGTGAGATGAGTTTTCCCAATTTCTCTACACTGTGATTAACTTTCATGCTTGAATTCATGTTTTCTTACCTTGCAGTCTTCTGACCAGTGGATGTCAAGTCCTTGTAGGAGTAGTCACTAGATCTGGGTTATCTCTTAAAGTTTACCATGGCCAGGCCTACAAATGGTTAATCCAGCCAAGCTACCTAACAGTGAGTTTGTATTTCTGAACAGTAACTAAAAAACCTTTTGACAGCTTAATATATGTGAAACACTAACTTCAATGCATATTTACAAAATGCCTAGCTGTAAATGTTGTGTTTTGTGTTGCTAGGTTTGCCCACTGGATCTATTCCACTTTTGGAAATTTAAACAAAATTTAGAGGAAAAACACTGTAGACATGTCATAGTCCCTGCAATTTTCTTTGTATCTGCATTACATGACTAGGCAGATTTGGAAACACTACCAGACACACCTCAGTGCACGCGTTTATGCAAGGAAAGCTTCAATCTCCCACATTATCTAGATTCTGGGTCATAAGTCACATCCGTCCAACAATGCTGTAAACACCATTTCCAGCAGAGTAGTTTGACCTTTTACTCTTAAAAAAACCCCTTCTAACAGCAAAAGTCAGTATTCCTAGAAGCCTAGAAGGGAGAGCAGTTACTTCTCAAGCAAGCAAATAAAACTTACTTATGCAGAGTTCTGCTTCGTTGTAAAATGTGAACAAATTATTTCTGGTTGGATATTAACAGAAAACAAAATGTGGGCAGCTCGTGTCTCCACAGGGAAACCAGGAGCGGGCGTTCTGCTGTGCTTAGCACAGACGCCTGGGGCTCTCTGTGATACCTCTGGGGGGTTGGGTGATGTGCCAAGGGACATGCTACAGAGCCCGGCTCTCTGGAGCAGCAGCCGGAGGCCAGCAAACACGCACAGCGGTATGGATGCCTCTGTGTAGCTGACTGAGTCCCACCACAGGCTTTCAGGCTGAATGTAAGACGGGGCAGAGAGAAATAAGAAAGACCCCAAAACAGAAGGTGGAGGCTTTAGCATGTGCTGTCAGTGAGTGAAGAGTCCCTTTCTGTGCAGCCTGACTCACCTCATGTATAGGGTACAGAGTGTCCCTTTTGGGGACCATTTTGATGCCTTGTCCTGTGGTTCTAGTTCTAAATAACTAAGCTATTTTATTATCAAGCATGGAACACATTGGTCTAACAGACATTGGTAGTGGAGACTGATGGGATAAGGATCATTTTCAGCTATAGAGCAGCAAAGCACATCTTACAGGAAGGACCTGAAGGAGAGACCCCCTGTATTGCAACAACTAGTATTTTTGTTTGATAGACTACAATTCATACAACCTGCCTGTGTAATACAAGAATATCCTAGCTCACATTTACATCCAGGGTGATTCAGCAGAATTTTACACAGCATGTTGACCTTGCCTGCAAGTGATGCCTGCAATAGTATTGACAAGCCAGATTAGATAAGCAGCATGGTGCAAGCGAGTTCATGAAGATCAAAGGTTGATACAGTTATCTGAAGAAATCAGTCAGAAGTGCAGAGGGCAGTTTGTCTTCTGACGCTGCTTTTCATTCACTGCCTCCTACAGTTGTCTCTGGTGTGCATTTTCACCTAGTCGGATCCATGGAAACATTTTTGAGAAGAACAGGAAAAAACACTTCTGTGTCCAGGAATGAAATACAGAAGAAAAATATCCTGAAGGAATATCCCGCTTCACTAAGGGAGGAACCTTATGTAGGATTCAAACTGAATTAGTTGATGTGATTTATGTAAAATGGCAATCTATTATACGTAAAAAAACCCCAAACCATAAAATATTAAAATAAATTGTTTATTGCTATCACAGTATTTTTTTTAGTCATGGGAGCTTTTCAGCTGTTCTGGTTATTTTAAGAAGCAGGTTGCCAAACAATGAAAATAGGAAGCAACAATTTTCTGCTGGCACAGAAGTTCCAAATAACCATGACTCTCATGAATTTCACATTTATACACTGTCATCATGAGTCAGGATTTTCTATAGGTGAGAAGTGACTAAACAGACATAATTGGTTTTATTTGTTTAAGAAATAGGAGTCTCCCAAAGAGAACTGTTTGCAATTCCCTTTGTAGGAGGGGCTACAGAACTATATAATCTCAAAACAAAGCTGCTGAGAGCTTAGAGCGAGTTATACTGTGTACAAGGTAAGCTTGTTTGCACAAGAGTGAGCAATTCGTGTAATTGAAACTAAGTCAGTGAACAGGTTTTATTGATTACTTGTCTGTACTTTATTAACATGGTTATGTGTGTGGTTATGTTAAATTATTGATCAATTGCTTTCTAGGTGTACAGATTTAAGATAAAGAAATGTAGATCTCAAGTGTGGAGTGTTTCCTCTCACCTTCTCCTATTTCAGAGAAAATACGTTTTTTTTACAAGGGGAATATGGTGGGTTTTTAGTTATTTTCTTTTTGCTGCTGTTTAAGCTTCAGTTTTATTGTTGACATGATGATGATAACTCTGAAGCTAGTACAAACTAGGCACTGCCTACATGTATGCTGCTGATATGCATGCACTGATTCTGACCGGGGGCATGACAGCCTGTCTACAAACTGCTGTTGCTTTAAATTCCAGCAGAGTTGGAACTGTCCAAGCAGGTATTGCATGTTGGCTCTGCCTGTGGTAAAGGGAAATCTAATATTACCTTAGACAAAATTAAATTCTATGTCTTCAGATGTTTGCCTAAAGAAAAGGGATTAGTGGGGAGTGCTGTAAATGAAACTGAATGCTTACAGTGGGGGTAACAGGAAGGCTTGTCACCTTACAATAGAGCATAATGGCTGCTGAAGAAAGCACAGCAATAGGTGAGTTTATGTTGTGTATCTGATTAAACAGCAATCTATCCAGAGATAATGCCAAAATAAAGAGAGCAGTGTATCTCACATGCCCTGTTTTTTTGGTCAGAGCAAAAGAGTTTGGGATGCAAATAGGTTTTGATTTGCTTATTCTCTGACATGGGCCAATTGCTCCCAGTACAGTTTTGCTTAACTAACCTGCACATACAAAAGACATTCTAAGGCTAAATGATACAATGCAGTCCCTCAATATAGTCTTTTACCTCCTCTACTAATGTGATGAGAGTCTTGGACGATAAATCATTGGTTTCAAAGAAGACAACTTTGAACAATGCTTGAGAAATTGTTAGAGACTCAAAACCCGCATTCTAAATCTTTGTTTTGCAAAGCTTACTTTATTCCAGATAGTAGGAAATCAGTGGAAGCATGTCTGGGAAGCCCAAGCTGCACTACTTCAATGGACGAGGCCGAATGGAATCAATACGATGGCTACTAGCAGCAGCTGGGGTTGAGGTTTGTCCTGTTTTTTATAGTAAGAGCATCTCACGTATTTTCACTGTTCCTTATAAGAAATGTGACTGACCAGCACTTTCAAGCTCTGCATTTAGTGTTTTGCTGATCAAGCCAACAATGACTAGCTTACCCTAAACAGGCAGGCAAGTTCCCATTTCAGTTCCAAGCACCATGTGCCAGGCACACTGGTGGCACCATAAATGCCTCTCCCTAGTAGCTAGTGAAAGCAAAAAACCAAAATGACAGCAGCAGAACCTGGTCTCTTATCTTTTGATCACACGGGTTGAGCACTTTCCATTCTGAAGACCTTCAGTTAAATCCCAATGTCCACAATAGCAAAAAAAGAAAAAAAAAATTCTATGGAATAACTGTGGTAATGTGGGGGATCTGTGTGTTTTAAGGGCTGAGAGTTTTTGTCACAGTAATGGGCAATAGGCCAGAAAGCTACATAGGACACTCAATCTCTTCTCTTTGACTCCCCTTTTGCCAGCTTGTGGCAAAGGAGCCACAGTTGTGCTGCTTCAGTGTAAATTTACCTACCCTCCTTTCTCCCAGCACTGACATCAGAAGTGGAACAGTCACTATTTGCTCAATAGACAGGGTTTTGTGCCTTTCAGTCACCTCAGCTTTAGCCAAAATCTTACCTGCACAGAAATATGAATCACATCTGAGAGGGAAGAGGAGAGAATGTGACAACGGCAAAATAAATTTTTAAAGATATCACTTCCAAATCTGATTTATTTTTCAAAAAATAAAATTCTCCAAAACACAGCTTTTTGTCTCATGCAAAGCAGAAGCTAAAATATGCAGTGATAACACAACATTTTTTCTTTATTTCCTGCAGTTTGAAGAATGTTTTCTGGAAACAAAGGATGATCTGACAAAGTTACAGAAGGGTAAGTTTCCTTCATTTTTTAATAATTAGGTAATACTATATACAGGTAATAGAACACCTAAGAAGTGTTATGTCCAGCAGCAACCTTAACCCACACAAACTCTTATTTCGTAGTCTTTGTGTTTGCTGATGAAATTAATGGTGAAAATGATGAAAATAGTGAACAGGTTTTTGATCTCTCATGAGTTTAGTGGTGGACTTGACAGTACTGAGTTAACGGTTGGACTTGATGATCTTAAGGGTCTTTTCCAACCTAAATGATTCTATGATTCTAAATAAAAAATTATGTGTGATTCCTTTGCCAAACACACACTAATGGTTCTCATTCAAATAGTGAATGTCTCCTTGTCTTGTCCCCTTTTTGCTAGATGGATTCCTGCTGTTTCAGCAAGTGCCAATGGTGGAGATTGATGGAATGAAGATGGTGCAGTCAAGAGCCATTGGCAATTACATAGCAGCAAAGTATAACCTCTATGGAAAGGACCTGAAGGAGAGAGCCCTGTACAGTAACAGTACCGTATTTTCCTGTTAGGCTAGAGTTCATACTACTGCTCTGTGTTAACACAAGGTATCCCAGCTCATAGTTAGATTCAGGGCGATATAGCAGCTTCTCATGTAGCATGTTCTAACTGTGACTGCAGATACAGTTGTATTACAGCAGTAATAACCAGCTAGATTAGCTAGGCAACACAGTGCAAGGGAGTTCATGAAGAGCAAAGGTCAACAGAGCTAACAGAAGAAAGCAGTCAGGTGCACAGACTGTCTTATAAGGCAGCTTTTCATTTTCTCCTACAGTTGGCAGCAGCAGGTATTTTTACCACATCAAATTCAGGGAAATGTCTTCAAAGGAAACAAAAGCCTTGTCTAATAACCAGGAATTAGAATTACTAATTGATTATTAAATGACAGGGCTTCTAGGCCACATGGTCTGACCTGAATTATTTTTAAATGCTTCAAGTTAATTAGCATTGGTAAACACGTTAAGCTATTTGTTAGGATTTGTACAGACCCATTGTTTAACTTGCCACCATGTCTGACTGGATTTTAACGCATTTGGATGACACCATCCTTAATGCAACCTTAATACAGAGAAGTATCACTCCTAGTCAAAAACTGAAGGGGTATAGTCTTCTAGTTTTTTGTAGGCACTTTGCACTTTTCCTTCACCCATGCTCTCCTGCTCCAAGCTAGGCATACTGGATAGAAAAGGCAGAGTTCCCAACATCTCAGTGGGGTTATGGCAGTAGCTATTGTGCTATTTCAACCTACTGTGTTTGACTTGACCAAATGGATCTATACTTTTCAGAATTGATATGTATGTGGAAGCTATAATAGACTTGAATGAGTTACTGATGACGCATAGTTTCCAACCAGAGGATAAAAAGCAGCAACATTTTGCTAATCTTGTGGACAAGGCCACAAACAGATACTTCCCAGTCTTCGAGAAGGTATGTGGCAAAGATGTAGTAGCTTAATTTTGTTTTCCTGAAACTCTATCCTGGATCTACACAATTTTTACTGAGGAAAACAAAGAAAAATTACTACTAACATATAAATGCTATGGTTTTGATGGGACTGGGATGAGGATGGAGATAGGACACTACACAGGGGACAGCAGGCACTACAAATCCAGGAGAAAGATACAAAGCTGCAAAAACCCAGGATGCACCGAGCTCCCCAGATGTCCGTGCTGCAGTCTGTGTGTTGTTTCAGACAAAAGACACTATAGCATCAGCTTTTACATAGTTTCCTCCTGAAAAGAAGAACCCCCTCTCCCATTCATGCTGTGTAAAAGCATTACAACTCCTTCTGTAACAGAAGGAAGGATGGATTAGCTGGGTGTCAAGACCCTGAGGCACAGGTTACACAGACAGATCTCCCAAATTCCTCAAAGAGGAAACAGGTGAGAAGGCATCTGCCCATAATTTGAAAGAGTCCACGATACTCTATGTCCTGGGCTGAACTTAAGCATCTTGCAAATCTTGTACAGGCACTCGCAGTGATGGATGGTTATATGGTTATATCCCATAAAGCCTTCAACACAGCAGTGCTGACTACAGGAGCTACAGAAGTAAAGGCAAGAGGGATACAACTGACCTGGCAGAAAGAAATGCAGAAGAGCAAGGGCTGAGAAACTATGCCTAGGATGACAGTGTGGTCAAGTTGTTAGTTTGAACTACAGATTCAAATTAACACTTCCTTCTTTTTCTACATCATTTCCTTCTTTCAAAGACAACTCCATGCAGTGTATGACCTTGCTTTGAAGATATAGTAAGTCACAGAAAGGGAAAAAAATAATCACTTCTGGTTCTCTGGTTTTAGGTTTTGAAAGACCATGGGCAGGACTTTCTTGTGGGCAATCAGCTTAGCAGGGCAGATGTGCAGTTACTTGAAAGCCTTTTAATGGCAGAAGAATGCAAGCCTGATATCCTTGCCAAGTTTCCTCTCTTGCAGGTAAATGAATGGACAGTTTTAAAAGACAATGAATCAAGGGAGCGCCACTGATTTAAACTGGCTGAGAAATATGGGAGAGTGGGTGGGTGAGTGAAGAAGTGACAGAAAAAATCAAGTACCCTAACTACTTTTACTTGGCCTCAAATACTGGTGGTTATTGCTGCCTTCTGTCACTATAGCCACAAATAAGTAATAGGACAAAGCATACAGATTCTTCTGCATGATGAACCCATAATGATACTTTTATGGCAACAATAACATCTTGGTATCTGACAGCTACCATAGTTCTTAAGCATAGTGCTGTTTTTGTTTTGTTTTGTAGAGTTTTAAATCAAGAATAAGCAATATCCCCACAATAAAGAAATTCCTGCAGCCTGGCAGCCAGAGGAAACCACCACTACAAGAGAAAGATTTACCAAGAGTGATGAAAATTTTCCACTGAGCAGCAACCTTAACTCACAGAAACTCTTATTTTGTAGTGTTTGCTGATGAAATTAATGGTGAAAATAATGTAAATGGTGAACTGGGTTTTGATCTCTCTCTCCTTAACAACACAACTGTTTTTAGCCCTTTGCAAATACTTCCAAATTAAATCTACACAAGCATACTAGCAAATGAAATAGCTCACTGCACTGGGGTGGGGTGTGGGGTGTGTGTACACTGGACAACACAGGATGTCTTAAATTACTTGACAGAATACTGAAATAAAGTCTTACAATTGACACACAAAACCAGTTTGTTCAAAGACTTCTTGCTGCTACTTATAGCCTAAGAGCTCTCTGGTTTTGTCTTTCTGGCATTCCCAAGAGCTGCTGGAAAACGAAAACAGCTTAGCCCTAACAGTGGGGGATACATTTGTTCTGAGAAATGACAGGAGAAATCTGCAGGTTCTGGTTTGATGTGGATGACATGTTTGGATTCTGCTTTCCTCTGGACTTAACTCGGAGCATGCTGGGACCAGAGGTCGTATTGCACCTCTGTTCTGTCAGCAGACATTTAAACTCGTGCACTGTAACTTCACCGCCGAGCACGGTCACGGTCAGAAACGCGAGCTGGGAAGCTTGGCCGTGGCTGCCGGCTCTCTGCTGTGCAAGCTCCCCTGCGCAGCTAAGCGTTTGGGAGCCTGCGTACAGCTCCAGCCTCCGGCCTCGCAGAGCCAGAGCCCCTAGCACATGGGCAGTCGGGTGTCCTCACGCAGGGACTGCGATCCAGGCCTCTTCCCCGGCCCCGCCACCGCTGGGAACCCCACTGCCTCCTCGGGGCCTCGGAGCCTTTCTTCTGCCCCAGCGGCCGTGTCCCTCTGGGGCGTAGCCGTGGCATGCCGCCGACCTCGAACCCGGCCCTCTGCGAAGAGTGGCTTCGCAAGACTTCAGGACAAGGCCGCGGCAACTCTTCTTTCCCCAGGCACGCTCGCACGGCTCAAGGACGCGGTTTACCGGCGGAAAGCCAGGCCCCGCTACCCCCGCGCGGCTCATACGCCACCGGCGAGAGCGAAGGCACGGAGGAGGCCGCCCGGCCGGTGCGGCCGCTGAGGGGAGGAGCGGCGAGGCGAGGCGCGGCGGAGAGGGCGGTCCCTGCGGATCTGTCTGGGCAGCGCGCTCTGTCAGCGGTGCGGTCCGTGCGCAGGGTACTGGTGACGGTGGCGGCTTTGGGGGGCAGTTGCGGGACTTGGCAGCTCCCCCGGGGTGAGGGGTGTGGAGGGGAGCCGGTCCCTACTCGGGGGAGGGTGTGAACTGTGCTGCGACGCGCGGTCTGTGGCGGCGGGGGCTCTCCGGGTGGAATGGCGCCTCGCCGGCAGCAGGACGGGATACCGGCGGTGCTTGGCCGGCTGGGTACGGAGGGTCGGGTTGGGCTGCACTGGGCTTGGCTGCCAGCTCTCTCCAGGTCACCGTGCGGAGCGGAGGGCGGCCAGCCAGTGCCCTTTGCCGGGAGAGCGAAAGGCAAGGCCCGTGTCAGAGCCGTTTGTAGTTCAGATCGTGCCTGGGTGAGCTGCTGCAGGGACCCAGGCCGGGCAGGGAGGGTGTGCATAGGGCGCTCTGTGGGTAGGTCCACCAGGAAACTTGCAGAGGAATTGCATTTGGAGACAGAAGGTTTAAAATCTCGAGGTAATTTGCCTTTCACTCGTGCAAACACTCGTCCTAGCTCTGGTGGAGCAAGGAACGCTTCCTGAATCGGGACTTGGCTGGAGGCCCAGTAAAAACCACATGCTGGTGAGAAGTTTGTCTTAGGGTGGTCTGGAGACTGAGCTGGGCCCGATGCAGCATGGGGCCTGTGCTGTGAGGTCCTTCTGCTTGAGCAGCCTTGTGTGAGCGGTGTGTGAGGAGCAGAGAACTACTTTGGGGTCCACATCCAATTAGAAAGCAAGTTTAAGGTCTTGCAGCAGATTATGGGATT